ATGAAGTTCATATATTGCAATAGCTTTGTAATCGTTCCAACATTTCAAATTAAAAATAAATTTTTCTCATATTCTCAAATGTGCTTTTATGTTTCATCAATTTGACAGCGAAACATAAAATGCTTTTATGATATAAAAAATTGCTTACCATACCTATTGCTTGCCATGAAAAAAAGTTCAATAATACTTTTTGCCACATTTCATAGATTTATTTTCTACATTATTTAACAAACAAAATCTTCGTTCAAATGATTTTCAAAAAAAAAAAAAAAAAAAAGAAAGAGAAAAAATAGATCACATCTGTTTCCATGGAAAATTCATTTTAAAGTTATTATTCATAAAAATGCTCAGTCACATGTATCAATCAAATGATATTACTGATATGTAATAATAAAGTTTCGGATGCTCAAAAACTATTTAAATCTTTTCAAAAAAAATTTCTGTTTTTAGGTATGTAAAAGAAAATTTTAGATAAGAGAAAGACTGCAAGCAATGGAAAGTTATTCACAGTATAGTAAAATGCTCTTTGAATGGTTTTGAATTTCAAATTTCAAAATTCAAATTGAAACTAGAAGCATAACATCGCTATAATTTTTATTATTACATTTGAATAGTCTCACGATTTTCGATTTTTAACAAATTCGTACAGTCTCATTTTATATAATTTCAAATTGAACTTATATAACTAAAACGAAAAGACCTCACATCTAAAATAAAATTCAAACAAGCAAATTTTAATTTGCTCCAAATTTCCTGCAAAACTATCTCACACTCATCTTTACCTTGCAATACACTTTGAGAGAGAAAGCAACAACATCTGTTCGGTATCATGTATCATCCTTAAAGCAGCACATCACCGCCACACATCAATAGCGTCAATGGAATGGCTGTGATGTCACTCAGCTGTTCGGTTAATTGCGCCTAGGCTTGATTTCAGAACATATATTTAGCCTTGCTTTGTTCTTTCCCATTCTTTTTGACTCTTTCCTATCTTCCTTCATTTTGCTTCATCCTTTCATTCATTTTTTTTTCTCTCTCATTATCATCTGATTCTATTTTTATTATTCTGCTTACGTAATAATGTCACAACACGTGTCACACACGCACATACACAGACACACACACACACACATATACACTCAACTGACCCCAATGATATAAAAGCATTATGAGAGATAAATCTTTCACTGATTTACTTCCCATGAATTTCTCATTGAATATGCTAAGTTAAGCTCATAATGCTCATTAAAATTGGAAATTCAAATTTTAAATGTCGTTTTATGTGACATTTGAAGTAATCATGAAATGTGGAAATGCATAAATGTTTTGTTATTTATGCTTCATTCTTAGCAAGTAATGACCATTCAGAGATATATTAGAAGCATATATTTCAAATTATTTATGAATACATTTTATTCTTGAGATTTCTTTACTATACACTAAGCAATTTATAAAATTGCAATTGTCCCGAGATGCTTGTTTCGAAGTTATATTACAATCGGCATATCTTTGCTAGGCTATCTATTGTGATTTTTCTTTTTTTTTTTATAAGTGCTGGCCAGCAACCTATTACTTTTGTTTATTTAAGGCCTTTTTGAGGGCCTAATAGTTAAAGTTTCTCTGGAGTCCGATATATCATCACTCTGTAGGCTTTTTTACCTATCGTAGAACTTTTTTCTTTGCTTACTGCAAGACAAATAGCTTTGAATTTCAACAAAAAATGTCCAAATATTATTCATAAACAAGCATTACTTGTTCCTAAAAATAAAACACGTACGTGTAGCACGTATTCTTCTATTATTTTTCCTTCCATATAATAATATCACCTAAACTGATAGAACTTGATGTGAATGAAAAGTGATTTGTGTGTAACTTACGTATGAACTAATAGGTAAGATAAGATAAAAGGTAAAATACAATTTGTGAATTTTGGGCAATTTATGTGCAAATATGACGCATGTAATTTTGTTCAATTATGCATTTATGCATTTGCTCAATCCAATTAAATAGACTAATGTAATTTGTATAAATGAGATATAACCTATAATGTTTTGCATTTTCAACTTTATCTTATAAAATATACAATCGTCTTCAATTACTTTATTAATACGAACATTAATTCATTTATTAAATGACTAATCGATATTTGATAATAAGTAAAATAAATAAACCATTGAGTGAAATATTTCTTTAAATTTTATTTCTGCTCATAAGAAAGCTACGAGATGCTTATATCAAACTAGTAATTAATCTTTCCTTCTTTTTTATTATTTCAATTGCTTATAGAACTTGGTTAAGCGATTATTGCTTTTTTTTCACAGAAAAATAAAAGTGAATCATTTGATAGGCAAAAGTTAATATTATTATTTCCAAATAGGAATTATTAATGAATATGAACAATGAATTGACACAACTTTTTCACTTCGCCGATTCTCACTTCCATTTTAATTTCAATATAATTTGTGGCTAGTTATATTAAAATTGTAATTGGAGAGTTGTTTATTTGGATAAATATCAACTTGAAAATATCAATTTGATGAACAAATCATTGTTTAGATAGATAGAGAGAGAGAGAGAGAGAGAGAGAGAGAGAAGGAGAGAAGGAGGGAGAGAAAGAAGAGAATATAACACCAATATATATAATCTGTTGTTGTTACTTGCCGTACGAATTTTTAATCAACTTCTCCTATCATTTACACTATTTTTATTATTTGTTAGCTAATAATGAAAACAGGAAAAGAACCTGAAATTGTTACCGGAAACAATTTATAGTATCTAATTGTCTTATTATTTTTTCTCATCCATGACTTCTAGTTATTTTTTTCACTCTTCATATTTCTCTGACATTAAATAAATTTACTGCTAGAAAAATGAAATAAGTTTGTACTTTGTGAAAAACCCATAAAGATATTAAAATTCGCAGATCATTCTCTGATCAATCAATTGATCGTATCGATCTTTCAATCTAGGATGAAAATATGAAATGTAAAATGAGATTATTGTGACTCATAAATCATTGGTCTAAGTGAAATCGAATTTCACACTTAAATCTATCTTTCCTTCTGCTCGCTTCTTTTTATGAACATTTTTTTCCTCTCATCTTTAAGTTAGCAGTTGCAAATAAATTAAAGCTTCTTTCGAGAACAGAAAATGTCTGAAGTATGTTTTATGGTTTATGTGTGTGTGTGTGTGTATGTTTGTGTATGTGTATGTGTGTGTTGTATGCCTTCTTTATTTTTCCGTTCATAACCGGAAACCCGCCTTTTCATCGGGAATTTTTTTGCTAAAAATTAATGAGTTCGCCTACGAGACTTCCAACTGCTATAGTCTAAATGATGGTCTTCTGGCTAAATAATCCAAACGACAGTCTTCTGACTAAATAGCCTAAATCATAATCATCTGTTAAGTAGTCTAAATGATACTCTTCTGGCCAAATAGCTTGAATGATAGTCTTCTGGCTAAATAGTCTAAAAGATAGTCATCTGTTAAGTAGTCTGAATGGTACTCTTCTGGCTAAATGAATGTGTAATTTCGAGGCTTCGATTAGATAACATTGCTGTTATTTGTTCAATTTTTTCTTATTATTATAAAATTGTATTAGTTCTATTGTGTGATTTGACAGTTTAAAATTTTTGTGATTTATATCAATTTTTGAAGTTTATCAGAAAGTAAAAATCTGTTAAAAAAAGGGTAGAATTATTTTTTAGATAGAATTATTTTAGTTTACTTTCAAGGTAAAACATAAAACAGAAATTATGGAGCTGCACTATTACCTGGTTATGTCATAATTTTACTTTCTCTTTTACTCGTAAAATTATTTATCTACGATGGATGAATTTCCCATTACTAAAATATCCTTTAAAGTACTGATAATGTTTATAATGAAATATATATGATTTAGGCCAGACAAAAATGATCATTTTCAACTGATCGGGAAAAATATTCAATTTAATTTTAATAGTCTTTCATTACTTTCATCTTCTTCATTTTTCTTTGCATCAAATTTTATGAATGAATGATTGTATGCAAATAAAAAAAATTACATTTAACATTAAATTAATACAAAATGTCTTATTTAGTGAATTTATTTCTACATCAATTTATCAAAGACAACGAAAAAAAAGAAATAAAAATTAAATGATGTAAAAAATATGTTAAGTTTACATAAGCATTTTCAATTGATTCTTTTATATAAATTTGGAAAGCTCTTTCAACAGATTTGTTTATTTAATATTTATGTAAACTCAACATATATTTTTACATCATTTAATTTTTAGCATTTTTCGTTACTTCAACTAAAATTAATTTGCACTGAGATTTAAAAAAAAAAAAAAAATGATAGCAGTATGAGATAAAGGAATATTTCTATCTAAAACATTAAATCTGTTTGAAGCCTATAAAATAAATCCATTTTGTAACATTAAATCAAAATTTCTTATCTATCATAGTCATAAAAGTATTACTTACTACTGATAGTATTAATCATGATTAGAAAAGCATATGATAACAGCTAATCAAAGAGCTTTCAAATTCAATTTTATGAATTTATAAATCTGTCTATGTAAAACAATTTATCTATTCCAATGAGAACTGAAATGCACAACAATTTGTTTTTTATTTTGTAAAAAAAATTTTTTCTTTCCGTAAGCAATAACATTCATTTAAAATATTGTATACGTATAAGTTTAATATTTATATAAACTTAGCATATACTTTTATACCACTTAATTTCTATCTTTTTTGTGATCAATGTGTAATTTTTGTTTTGTTCAAAACGAATGTAATATGAGATTTCCCTTTTGCTAATTCAGAAAGACACAACGAGGCGGATTTTTTTGATCAGAAATGGTGAACCAGCTGATTTTGGTGGCGTACGTAACAACGGTGCATTCCTGAATCACAATAAACTTGCAAAAGTTAGATTATATCAGTGCTATCAATAGTATCGATTTGTTCAATTGAATTGAATACTTTCGAATATAATCTTCTTGATATCACAGATGGACACAAGTCAGGCAATAGTTACTGTTACACGATCTGGTGGCTTTGAAAGTTACGTGGACGATCCACCACTAACGCAGATCGGACGTGCTGACGCTGAGTTGGTTGGTCGTTCTTTGTCCGCAAGAAACTTTCACGTTCATACCATTTACACTTCACCTTCACTTAGATGCTTACAGGTTCAAATTCTTTAATTTGATTGAATATCAGTGATGCTTTTCACGCCATCACGCCATAAATTCATATTTTTATTGAAAGAATAATGCAATAAAGTTTTGTAATCGTGGTTATAAGTAATTAAATAGAGAAATTACATTATAGAAAAAAGTTTAAAGAAATTAAAATTATAGAAAATATTACAGACAGCTATTGCCATCATGTCAACGTTAAATTGTCGCAAACCGCTTAGATTACGTATCGAACCTGCCCTTTACGAACCACTCAGCTTTATTGGAAAGGTCTCTAAGCGTTTTTTTTTTTTTTTTTTTTAAAAAAAATTTCAATATCATACTATTATCAATGCTATTTCATTTTGATCAGTCATTTGATATTGTTATCCTATGCATTAAATATGTGTAATGTTAAACTATGTACAAACTATAAACAATTTAAATTCAAAAGCATTCATAATTTTTCTTTTAGGTTCCACAATTTCTTAGTCGACGAGACCTTCAAGCAAATGGATATGTCTGTGACGAGCATTACGTACCTGTTATGTCAGTCAACGATCTTAAATCTTCACTTGAACAAGTGATTTAAGCAATTTAACATTTAATTTATGCATAAATGTTTCGTCTTTGATAATGATTCGATGAATACATCTGTTATTTGCAGAGAACTTTATGACCTTTGAAAAGTTATCAGATTCATCGCTACAATTTTACTTTAATAAAATTTGATGAAAACTTTTCATAGTGTTATTATGTTCAGGAGCTTAGGCCCAGTGATATTCAAATGAGGGTGGAAAAGGCTGTAAATAGGATTTTGTCGGGAGGAAAACAAGAAGGCGATATATTGGTCGTATCTCATGCACCAATGCTTGATGCCTTATACAGGTTGATGAATTTTCCACACGCAAACATTTCTATATTTTTCAACAGGTGTTAATCACTTCTACACCTTAAAATTAATCACTTCTATACCTTAGAATTAATCATTTCTATTAAATTTTTAACATTATAATAGATTAATGCTCAGAAGCTAGCAGCTATCAATGATGTTGTTAGCTTTATATTTCCATAAACAATTATGTACTCTTTATATAATAACTGTAAGCTGCACATTCTCAAATTATTTCTCCCATTAGCAAAACAGAAATAAGCAACAAAAAGTGAAAGCATACGACTAAAACAGAAGTTACAGTGAATAAATTTTAAGACATAATGGATTTTTAATAAGACATCGACTAATTCTGACCATTGGTTTTGAGAATTTTTCGCAATTTAATTTGAATTTGAAAATAGCTTATACATGCTAATTTGTTTACAACTAAATTATTGATTGATTTCCTTAAAGTCCTAAAATATTGCTTATTTTATGCAAATTAAATAAATGACAATTTAGGATAGTGATGAATCGAACTGATATGCCACGTACGATGGGTGACATACAACGTTTGATACACTACTATCCACACTGCTCGATGACCATTTTGCAATATAATCCATTAGCTAAAAGATGGGAAAATCGACAAGATATTATGCCACCGTTGACTTATTGGCATACAAATTGTATTGTTAATGTTCCAAATTTTGATTAAAATTTATTTAATTTCAATCTCTTTCTTTTCATATCGATATTGATGCTTATTTTGGAAGATAAATTAGTGGAAAATATTATTTTGGAAGATAAATTAGTGGAAAATATTATTTTGGAAGATAAATTAGTGGAAAATATTATTTTGGAAGATAAATTAGTGGAAAATATTATTTTGGATAAAAAAAACCGAAACATTTTCTCATTTAGTTAATAGTATTCACGATAAAGAATATTAAGCATATCATTAAGATAATTATGAAAATCATTAAACTTTATATATTCCAAGAACCAATCAATCAATTAATCTTCCTTGGCGTCAATATTATTCAAAATTAGGAAGCGATGTTTCACTAACTTTTATTATTTTCAAGAAGAATAAATAATATTAACAATAATAATAATTAGTTAATAATAACACAATAACAATAATAATAGCTAATAGTTAGTATTAACAATGTAATAATATTAATAAGAATAATATTAACTTTAAACAACAATGATAAAGTAATAATGGTAATAACAATAACAATAATTATCCATTAGCCTTTGATAATAGCTTAAAATCTGCCTTCCAATTTTTTTTTTCCACTCGAAAGCTCTTTTAATAAATGAAAAAGTAATATGTGAAAATTAATGAAGTATATACATTTGTATATTGTATACTTTACAGATTAGTTTTCATTTTTTAATGTTTTGAAATATTTGGTAGCACTCTTTTTTTAAAAAATGAACTCGGTGGATTGATATGTGTCGTGATGTGAGTCACATGTCATAGGATATATTATTTAATTATTAATTCATTTTCATTCTAATTTATTTCATTCAAAATTAGTTTTTAAATTTAAAATGTTAATTAGATAAAGGCCTAGGATGCAATATTGTTTGAATATAATACTTGTGATGAATTTTACAACAATATCATTTAAATTCTATCAATGAAGTATCAACTTTGAAAAAGCACTATTGAGTGGACATAAAAATAAGTCATCTTTAACTAATTTAGCAAAAGCAATTTTGAAATTTTTGAAGAATTGAATAAAGTAATTAATAAAATTTTAAGATTAGCAATGTAAACTAAATCCAGAGAAATATGAAATTTTTACATGTTGTTTCAATAAAATATAGATACATTTAATTATATATTATGCAAATTATCAGTGTGCCTTTATGTATATTAATGACTCATCAAAAACACTGACCATTTAGTGACCATCCGTAAACATAACGGATTTCACTCATTTCCGTTTTCTGTTCAATTGTTTCTGCTATTATTTTTTTTCTTTGATTAGCGAAATGATAACTGTTAGCATTATTAAAAGTAATCTATTCGTTTTGCTTCCATTTTTTTATATCAAAATATTTTATATTTTGTACACTTTCCTTCTTTATGATACACATTAATTTATCAATATAAATTTGAATGTGACTTCATTTTTCTAATAAATGTAATTTTTCACTTATTTATTAGTAATTTTTCCTGCTAACTATCGACCAGATAGAAATCAATTTTATTATTTATTAATTCTTAAATTCTAAATAAACTGAAACTGAGAGCACATTTTGTTTGTTTTGTGCAAATTATCATTCGTCTTATTTGACATTGATTCATCTGTCTTCTTTTTTCTTTCTTTAATTCTAATTATTACTGATAGATAAACAAATTAATATTTACAAATAGAATAGTAAATATTCAAGAAATTAAATGGTTACGATAATGAAAATTAGATTTTATGATTTTATCATATTTGTAACTTAGTAAGCAAAAATTATAGTTACATGTTATTTACTCAGTAACTTTCGAGTTATTACCTTCCAATGTTTAATTTCTAGTCAAATTGTGGTGTATATGACAGATTGCGTCAAACGTACGACTAATTTTAAATTAGATTTGCATAAAAATGCATTACTCGAATTAATTATGTTTTGCGATAAAGTTGTGGAATTGCATTGAAATTAGAAACAGTTTTCACCAATTCCTGTTGACAATTCCTGATGGAATGCCGAAACTCAGTTTTTTTATATTGGTTTATGTATAGTTTGCTTAAATATTAATCTTTAATTAAAAAACTTTAACTAAAATTATTATTTAGAAATTAACTTTTATTTAGTATGACATATGATAGCAACAATTCTTAATTATCATTAAACCGACGTACATTTCTTTTCCGATTTATCTATGTTTTTTACACCCATAATACATCCGGAAATTTCCATTTCACTGCTTTAAAATTTATATTAAAAAATAGAGCTTTAATTTTTGAACCATAGAGTATAATGAAAGATTAGAATCCACACATTAACTTTCGCAAATTACTTGGCCAAATCTGTTCATTAAGTTTTACTAAAATAGTTGAATTTAATATTACCATTGTATAATTTAACAGAAAACTTACAAAAACTAAAATCAAAATTGCAAATTATAGGAGAATTTATAATTTTTTATGTCAATAAGACTTTTATTTCATTCAAATACTAAGAACGAAATGTAAAATGAAAAGATTTTTTGAAAGCATTGAAAATTTTGAGTTTTTTTTAGGAAACAGAAAGAATTCTCTAAAAGCAGACAAATACACCAATAAATATTGGTGATAATTTGATAATCATTCCTATCTGATATCTGTTCTTCTTTCTATCAAAGTTATCAAATAAGTGTTAAAACAATGAAATTTCTTACGATTGAAGTTTAGCATTTTGTTTAATTAATTTGATTTTGTTTTTTAAATTATTTATTATTTTAATTACAAGTTTATGAGATGGAAGAAAAAAACACAACTAATCAATATAGTTCTAAATTCTTTCATATTCATTTAATCCTTAATTCCTCCAACTGTAATTTATAATTTCACATAGTTTTAAGTAACAGTTAAATTTGAATAATTAAAAGTAACATATTACATAACCTTTACTTTACTGTCACTGTAAATTGATGTTTTTTTTTTTTTTTTTTTTTTGTGCATTTTAACAGTTAAAAAAGACATAGGTAGCATTTAAGTAACAATTCCAGTACAAAAAATTTACGTTCAAAACCATTAGATAATTGTTGTAGCATAAACTTTTTGGAATATTTACTTCTCTGATGATATATTGAATTTGTTGACTAATTAATTAAATTTTAGAAGAATGAGAGATTCTGTAGCGATAGGCATTTTCTTTCGTACTTTATCTTCTTAAAGTATCATACTTTTTAAGCATAATTCTTTATTTAAACATTATGCTGTTGCTATTGAAATTTTTATATTTGCTTGGAGGAAATAAAATAAAATTGAAATCTCTTTCTATCGCTTTAAATGCACATTTTTCTATCAATTAACCTAACTTAATTAATTAATCGATAGTTAATTCACGTCTTCTCATTTCTCTCTCTCTCTCTCTCTCTCTCTCCCTCTGTAATCTTAACATTTCATATATCAACTATGAACGATTTGCTGATTATTGCTATTTTCAAATTGTCTAATTATTTTCATTTATATTTTTTTCCATTTCTGTTTTATTTCATCCACTTCAAAAATTTACTTAAAAATTTGTGACATGTCAAAAATCATTTGATAATTCTTCAAAATTTTCAATGGAATACGATCATTGATGAAGCAAAGTTAATTTAGCATCCTAAATTACGATTGATGGATTAATCAAATGTCTTCATGCTTCAAAATAAAAGTAAAGAAATTTGAAAAAATTCCTAAACATTGAATTAAAGTTTTCAGTAACAAAATTGATCTTTCGGATAAATTATGCATATTGCTAGATATCTCGAGAATATAGATGAGAAAATAACATTAAATTCATAACCATTTGTTATTAATTCATTTTCAAATATTAGCCTAAATATGAACTGCTAATATTTCCATTTTCGGTTCCTTTCGCCTTCTTTACCGGAATAAAAGAAAGCAACCGTTAATGTAAACGGTCCTTTTATTGATTGACATTGTCACATATATATGTAAGTTTAAAAATGAATTCATATGGTTCATTCTATACTTATTTGTCAACAATTATTGCTATCCAATTCCGGTTCACTTTACAATTGATTACAACCGGTTCCAGTATGACAAATTATTTGTTAGCCTAATTGTCACTGATAAAAATATGATTATTAAATAAGTACTAGTGAAAATAATCATATCAAACCCATATGATTTCCTTTTTTATTTATTAATACGCAACAACGACAATTTTCCATAAACAAAATCAATCATTCTAATATAACTATCATTTATTTTGTATATTAGTATGATAATAGCTATTTGATAATAAGTCATATAGATAGATCGGTGACTAAGCTCTTAACAAAATTTAAAAAATGGAGAAGCGAATTTAATCAGTTAGTAAATTATCTACGAATAATAATATAATATACTTCCTTCAATGCATCTGTGTATTCGAACATCCTTTGATTTCATATTATCTAATTTTTTTTTTTAATTAATATTTATTCTCTTCAATAAAAGTGATCGTTTATCATGAAATAACTCTTCCATTTCAATTATTCAAATATTTATTTACTAAATAAAAAGCTTTAATCCAATTATTTACTTGCTTGATAGAATTTCTCTCATGTGAGAAATATTCTTTCACATAATAAAAATATTATCACAATGAGCTAAATAAATTAATAAGAAACACTTCATGAATGATAGTATCATTTTTATCATTACTACTTTATCAATTATCATATCGTTATCAGTTTACATTTAAATACATCTATCTGTATTTATATGCATTTATATGCTATGTCAGTTATAAGAGTAATAAATCAAACGAGTTTAGCCTAGCTACAGCCACTTAAAGACTCATTTCGTTGACATCAGTCCTTTTAACTTTATCAGCTTTCCAATAATGCCTTACTATAGCAAATGCTCAATTTTCAGAATTTTTTCTCCTCTCTTCTTTCTCTCATTTTTCTTTATACCACTTAAAATCTTACATATTTGAAGTGTTAGTGTTGAAGTAATTAATGATCGCTTTACTCCAATAGCACCATTTATCAATATATTTTCGAGT